TGGACTTCTATCTCTCTATTTAGGAATGGTTAGGCTTAGGTTTGTGAATGAAATATGTTGTACTCATAGCCCTGAAGCCATACATATGCTTAGTTTTCATTTACATTAATCGTGTTGAGAGAATTTCACTCATGAACTTTCTGATAAAACTAGGTTAGAAATTAGGGCCAGAGAAATTCTCTCTGGTCTTTGAGAGTTAATCCAAGTTTTTTATATGGTTGAATTCGTTATTTGATGCTCTACAAGTTTCATGTTGTGAGTTTTGTCAAAAAATCAAAGAATCAGGAGTTAGCCATTGATGCACAGAAACGCGTGTTTTGTGAACAAGAGGAAGAAGAAGAAGAAGTCGGGTGGGCTGGGCCTGAGTTGTTTTTGCTTCTCACACATGCTTATTCAGTTTGCACCCCCCCCCCCCCCCTGGCCCATTTGTTTAATATTTATCATTTTTGACATTTTATTTTTATCCTGACTTTATTATTTTTTGTATAAATATAAAAAATGCCAAAAATAATTTTCCATTTTTTTCATATATATATATATATATATATATATATATATATATATATATATATATATATATATATATATATATATATATATATATATATATATATATATATATATATATATATATATATATATATATATATATATATATATATATATATATATATATATATATATATATATATATATATATATATATATATATATATATATATATATATATATATATATATATATATATATATATGTAAATAAACTATTTTCCTTTTAATAAAACTCAAAAATAATACAAAAAATATACTTATTTTCATTTATTATTTTTATTTACATTTGAAAACATTTTCTTGAAAATATCCATTTTTGTAAATAATTAATTTTTATCTTTGTACATTTAATATGTTTAATATATATATATATATATATATATATATATATATATATATATATATATATATATATATATATATATATATATATATATATATATATATATATATATATATATATATATATATATATATATATATATATATATATATATATATATATATATATATATATATATATATATATATATATATATATATATATATATATATATATATATATATATATATATATATATATATATATATATATATATATATATATATATATATATATATATATATATATATATATATATATATATATATATATATATATATATATATATATATATATATATATATATATATATATATATATATATATATATATATATATATATATATATATATATATATATATATATATATATATATATATATATATATATATATATATATATATATGCTTATATACTTGTCATTAAATAATTAGGTTAAAAAATACCAAAATATCACATTTTCATTTTTATTAATATTTTACACTAAAAAACATTTTTTACAATATACTTTTATTTTGTTAATATATATTTGTATAAAATTAATAAATAATATTATTTATTAGGAATTAGGGTTTCTTTCCCTAAATAGGAAAAATAATTAAAATTGATCTTTTTATTTTATTTTACTTTTCACATTAAAAAATACTTTTTACATACTAAAAAACATTTTGGCATAATACATGTTATTTACATTTATTTATTGTATTTATTTCAATTATTGTACATTTAAATATTGTATCTTGTACATTCAATTTGGTTGTAATAGTAATCTAGAGTTTTATTTCTTGTCAAATATCCCCAATTCAAATTTGTACCCCCCCTCCCTATATCATGTTGTAATAGTATAGCATTTAAATTCTCGCACATTTAAAAGCTTTCAATTATGCCATGCTTAGACCTAGGGTTTGTATGAAAATAAAATCAACAATTAGTTTGACCTAATCCAAGATAAACATGCATGAAAAACAAACACAATACACACTTGCACCCCTAGGGTTTCATCCACTTGTTGCCTTCAAAAATGGGCCATGGTTGCATGTTGAGTACTTTGGCAAAACAATAACAAACAAAAAGATCATAGTCCCTCGATGACGCTATCTGGGTTGCCTAAACAAAAATGATCAAGTCCCTCAAGAAAATTGCCAAAGATACTTGACACTATTGCTATCATGGTCTATACGATGACCCACGCCTGTCCCGTTAACATCCTAACACAAGGTTGTTCACCAAATACAATGGTGAAGCAACACTGTTAAAAGGGTTAAAAACATAAGAAAGATCTTTGAGTAAAATAGGGTAGACAACTCTTAGTTACTTGATCAAGCTTGCAAAAACATCCTTGCTACTTTTCAAAACACACTCCACAACACAATTTCAAAAACCTACCTTCAAACATTGAAAACCTTTCAAAAGACAAAAACACCTTTGTATACATTCAAACAAGAATCATTAAAAAGATTGCCACAACGATGGCCTCTTTTCAAAACATTTTCCAAAATCACACACAAAGCACCATTTCAAACAATTGAAAAGCACCATTTCAAACAATAGAAATGCAAAGCAAGTGATCTAAGCAAGTAACTAAGAGCCCATGGATAACCATGGATAGAAAAGGTGCTAATACCTTCCCTTTCTATAATCTACTCCCTGAACCCAAGGAAACATCTCAAAGGTCTTTCCTGTTCTTTTTGACCTTTCCTTAGGATAAAATAAAAATTCGGTGGCGACTCTTGCTAAACCGAAACATTTGCAAACACAAACGCGAAAACCCAAGTCAGTTCTCCCACCATATCACAGAACTGGCGACTCTGCTTGGGAATTATTATTAAGTGGAGTAACTTTAGGGATTAGATCACCCTTTGCATGACTATTGTTTGCTTTGATTGCTTTACACTTTTGTTCTCTTGTTTGGGCTTGAAATCCTACACCCGGATTTGGGAAACATTCATAGATAGCAATACGTTGTGGAAACTGTGCGGGGTATACCGACACAGTTGAAGCAATAGCTATATTAGTGCGACATATTTGTGAGTACCGGTAGCCTTTGAGTCAATCAAAGAGAATACAGGGTCGCTGAGTGATGTCATTAAGCACTAATGAACTAGAACCTTACTTGAGCATCTTGGCCTTTTATTAGGGGTAGTGAGATGACCGGCTTTGGTGCAGTCCGAAGTTGGTAGATACTCGATACTACACTCATTGAGGGTTGTTTTCTTGGAATATTTTGGTCGCTAGTTAAGTGGCTAAACCAAAACAATGAACATAGAAAACAATCCAATGATATTGAGCTCCTTAGAACCCGGTTACTATTTATAGGACAGGTTTTGAGCCAACTAAACTCAAGAGGGTACTTACCTATGAAACCTCATGCAAGCCTGAAACTAGGGTTTTGTGTGATTTGCTTGTACATGTGCTTGTACATACATCATGAACATCATAAAGCATCATATGCATGCACTAACCATTTCAAGGGTTTGGATCTTCATCTTTGTTCTTGTTTTGTAGGTCATGGAATCTCTTCGCAGGAAAACAATACAAGTCAACCTTGTGAGAATCCCTCCTCAACTCAAGGAGCTTACTTCCAGGATTCCAGAGAATTCTCTCTTCAGTGAAAGACATGGTAGACTCCTCAACTTAGTCAACACCAGCATTGAAGAAGACATGGTGAAAGTTCTTTTCCAATTCTTTGACCCCCTACACCACTGTTTCACATTCCCTAATTACCAATTGGTGCCTACTTTGGAGGAATTTTCTCAACTCCTGGGAATTCCTATTCTTAATCAACTACCCTACAACGTTACGGAAAAAGAACCAAAACCTGAAGATGTTGCTCAAGCATTACACTTGCAACCATCTGACATCAAGGGGCATTGGGAAACCAAAAGTGGTGTCAAGGGATTCTTGGAAAAGTTTTTGATGGAGAAGGCACAAGACTGCTAGAATTCTCTTGATCTACAAGCCTTTGAAGAGATTGTGGCACTCCTTATCTATGGGTTGGTTTTGTTCCCAAATCCTGACCAACTTATAGATGTGAATGCTGTCAAGATTTTCATATCCAGGAACCCCATACCTACATTGCTTGGGGACATCCTACACTCATTTTACACACGAACAATGAGGAAAAGAGGTGTTCTCATGTGTTGTACTCCTCTCCTAGCAAGGTGGTTTATTTCTCACCTCCCACAATCAGTTTTGAAGAATGAGCAGGGTTTAAGGTGGTCATAACGATTGATGACCCTCACACATTCAGATGTACATTGGTGTTCTCAGTCCAGAGAAAATGTCATCATCATTGATCGCTGTGGTGAATTCCCTAATGTCCCATTACTTGGCATTAGGGGAGGCATTACCTATAACCCCTGTCTAGCTTTGAGACAATTTGGATAAGCTCGGAGGGATGACCCTCATGACATGCTGATTCCTGACCTAGTTTTTGACTTTGACAACAATGCGCAAGGACTTCGACAAAGGTTCATCAGAGCTTGGAGGATGCCTAACAAGGTGGATAGTAAGACATTGGGGCACAAGATTTCCATCCCCCTTGAGCCTTACCTCAAGTGGGTATGAACCCGCTCCCAGAATCTTATGATGCCATATTCTCACATTCTCCCCTTGATCAAAGAGCCTGTTATGGAAGGACAGGTTCCATACACCATCCTATATCCTGACATGCCAACATCATGGGAAGAAATGCAAAAGAGTTGGATCCAACTCAAAGAAGAACGGGATACTTTTGAAGCCAGCTTCTATGCCAGTGAGAAGAAGGTTTTAGAGCTCACCCGCCGACTTCACGAGGAGGAAACTCTCAACACCTACATCGCACCAAAGAGGATGCGCAATGTCTTTTTACATTAAGAATTTTGTAATATTTCGCCCATGGGGC